ACGAAGCCGACGGTGCAGGAGCGGTTCGCTTTTCTCTTCAACAACGAGGTGCTCAGCGACGTCCACTTCCTGGTGGGGAAGGGCCGCGGCTCCCAGCGCATCCCGGCGCACAGGTGGGCCCCGCCGGGCAGAGGGGGGGGGGGGGGGAACGGGGGGTGCCCCACCCGGGGGGACCCGGGTGCCTGATGTGGGCTGTGGGGGACAGGCTGGGCCGGGGGGGCCCGTAGGCCGTGCTGGTGGCCCCGTGAGGGGGTCGGTGGTCCTGGGCTTCAGGCCAGGCCGTGGGTTTGCTGTGGGGTGGCTGGGGGTTCCCCCTGCGCGTCTGTGGGGGGGTACAGGATTTGGGGTTCTGCGCCTCCCTCGTGGAAGGAGAAAGGGGGTTCAGGCAGCTTCACCCCGCGTTTTACCCGGAGCTCGGGGGGATGTGTGGCCTTGGCAAGGCCCAGCTCCGCTCCCGGCGGGATGGAGGGAGCCGCTGGCACCAGGGTCTGGAGTGTGGGTCCCCTCGGTATAATCTGTGACGTGTTGGGAGGCCTCCTGGTCCATCCTTGTCACCGTGGGTTTGCTGTGGGGTGGCTGGGGGTTCCCCCTGCGCGTCTGTGGGGGGGTACAGGATTTGGGGTTCTGCGCCTCCCTCGTGGAAGGAGAAAGGGGGTTCAGGCAGCTTCACCCCGCGTTTTACCTGGAGCTCGGGGGGATGCATGGCCTCGGCAAGGCCCAACTCCGCTCCCGGTGGGATGGAGGGAGCCGCTGGCACTGGGGTCTGGAGTGTGGGTCCCCCCGGTTTAATCTGTGACGTGTTGGGAGGCCTCTTGGTCCATCCTTGTCACCTCCAATCTCCCCCAGCCCTTGGATTGATGTGATGTTTCTTCCTCCGGTTGCCAGCCCGGGCGACGGGGTCCAGCTTTGGGCTGGGAGTGGTTTCCCTGAAGGGTGGGTGCGACTGGGGCAGCGCTGAGGGGAAAAACCCCAAATCCCTGGTTCTCGCTCACAATCGATCCTTGGTTTAGTGGGTGGTGGAGGAGAGGAGGAATAGTCTCCCAGGCTGCCTGATCTCTGCCGAGAGATGCAGGGATTGGTGAGAGCGTTGGGGATGGAAAGGAAAGAGCGATGATTTGAGAAGCCAGATTTCTGCCACGACGTTTCCTTTTAAAAATAACCTTTATGGAGTCTTCTCTGAACCCCTGTATTTTGGGGGGTAACCCACTACTGTAAAAGAAACCCCGTGATCCTGGGAGAGCTGCGCTGAGAATGACATCTGGGCGTGTGGGAGCTGGTGGAGGTTACGGTTAAGGCCAAGCTGCCATTTAAGAGTTTGCAGCTCTGAGCTGCTCGGAACTGCCTCCACCTGGAAAACGCAAACCTGAGGTGGTGGATTGACGTTCGGCTGATTTTTGGGGCATCTCTGGTGGATAGACGTGTGTCACTCGCAACCCACTGCTCGGGGAAGGGCCCCCCAGGCTGCTCGGCTCCACCGACAGTGAAGGAAAGAGTATTTCGCTCAGAGAGGGGACCTGCTTTAATTGGGGTGGGGGTGCCTCCACCTGGAAAACGCAAACCTGAGGTGGTGGATTGACGTTCGGCTGATTTTTGGGGCATCTCTGGTGGATAGACGTGTGTCACTCGCAACCCACTGCTCGGGGAAGGGCCCCCCAGGCTGCTCGGCTCCACCGACAGTGAAGGAAAGAGTATTTCGCTCAGAGAGGGGACCTGCTTTAATTGGGGTGGGGGAAGGCTAATAGTTGGCGTCCTGAGCGCTGGGCAAAAGGAGCCTCCCTCCAAACTATTTCAAACTATGGCTTTTCTCATAAGTGCGGTGGGAGGTGTCCCTGCCCAGGGCAGGGGGGTTGGGACTGAATGATCTTTGAGGTCCCTTCCAACCCTAACCATTCTATGATTCTATGATTCCTGGCAGTTTCCCCTTCAGATTTCCTTTTCTCCCACTTTCTGAACGAAACGTGCTTGTTTCAGGCTGGTTTGAGCGTTTAGGGTGTCAGTTCTGTTCTTTTCTAATTTGAAGCTTAATTAGTATTTGAGTAAGCTTGTCCCTGTCCTGAGAACTAGGCTTGCTAGGTGGGGAGGGGCAATGTTCAGCCCAGAAATAAATGGAAAATAAATGAAGCTTTAAAAAAAAAGTAGCCCCAAAGTAAAATGCTGCCTAATTGCTCTGAAATCCATCTGGTGCTCTGGGTGGTAAAGTTAGAATACAGTGTGTCATGCCATGACATCCCACTTAAGGATTATATAGATTTTTAGTAGAACTTGCCTGTATGATATTACAGTTGGGATATCCTGGTGATTCATGAAGTACCATGGTTATTTGAGAAACAGAGAGCTTAAAATAAAACCACCCAGACCCCTTCTGTGCTCGGTTCTCCCACAGCAGCCTGACAGCAGAAGGTATTTTGTGCTGGAATAGAGTCGCAGAGCAACGATGAGTTTTAATTTGAGAGGTGCTGTGTTGCTCCAGCGACCAGGGGCAGATGTTTGTACTTTGGTGCTAGGTGTGTGAAATAGCACGCGGTTAGCAGGTAAGTATTTCCATAGCCTGGTTTTATTGCGTTAAATGTTCAGACCAGGGCAGATATAAAGCGTGGCTGCAGTAGGAGCACGTCCTAAATAGGGTTCTTGGACCTGGTGGTGGTGCCTTGAGGAGCAGGCTGCAATATCTTACTTGTCACCTTGGATGTGGTTGTGTGGAGCGTTAGAAATTGCTGGTTTTGGCGGCAAACTGGTTGGCACGACTAATCTGCACGTCGCAGGAGGTGATAGGGCAGCTCCCCCTGGTCGGGCTCCTCAGGAAGGAGCAGAGGTGGAGTATTCTAGGTTTGAGGTAGATAAATGGCATATGCACTGAGTGATCACGGGTGGTTTCGTCCACGTGTTGTGGTGGTGCTGGGAGGAGGTTTGTGAGAGTGAGACAGAAACACACCTGAACCAACAGCTAAGAGAGCCTGGCAAGTCCAGTTCATATCAAGCCATAGAAGCAGACAATGGATATCTCACATGGCAACTAAGAGTAAAAATTCATTTTGCGTGTGAAAGCCCTCTTTGTAGATAAATGGCATCAGTAGCTGTGCTGGGTTTGAAGGTTTGTCAGTCCAAGCAGCTGTCCTGTGGAGCCCTGAGAAGATCAGACATTTTCCACCTTCAGGAGGCTCCAGACCCCGTGGAAGTTGCTTGTCTACCCTGGAGCAAGCTCAGTCCTGTAGCCTTCAGCTTGTTCCCTCTTGCTGCTGAATCAGCCATGAAGAAGATGGAACAGCCTTAAGTTTTTTTCTGATGTCAAGGCCAATAAACGCCGGACCGAGCAGGCTGCCTCGGAGCTTCACGATGCCAATGTGGCCAAGGTCAACGCATTGATTAGGCCCAGCAGTAAGAGGGAAGGGTTTTTTTCTCTCTTTTGCCAGATCTGCTTCAGGGAGCACAACATCAGTGACACTAGAAACATCTAAACCTCATCAGCCAGCAGTTGCATGGGGGTGATAATTAAGCTTGTCAATCGGCCAGAAGACATGGCCCAAAAGGGAATAGGGCGAGCATGTGGTGATGCCCCTGTGTGCGCTCCAACCTGGGGCATCTGCAGCTTGGGCACAGTCTGAGTAGGTTTCCAGGCATCTCTCTTCTGAGCTCGTCCTCTCTTTTCTTGGATGCATGTTGACTTGCTGTACCTGCTGTGTCCCGTGCCGGGGTGTCCTAGCCCTCAACTCCTGGGGCTGCATCTGAAGAACCTGTGGGTCTCTGAACCTGCCTCCTGCTTGTTCCACCTGGTGTCTCTGGTCCTTGTGCTGAAGGATGCAGCAAGCAAACCATCATTGTTCATTAGCTTCCCATCACCTACGGTTTCACTGAGCTCCAGCACATCACGTGTTGCTCTGTTCCTCTGCCAGCTCTTCGGGAGTAGATATTTTAAGATTTCTCCGCAGTGGAGCGGATGGAGGAGGGAGGTGGTGTGCAGCGGTGGGATAGTCGTGGTTCTCCAGTGGTTTATTTTTATTATTATTATTATTAACATAGTGCCTGGGAAGGGAGCAGGGCTGTTAAGGTGCACGAATGCAACTTGGTGGCAGGTGGAGGTGCCAAGGTGAACAGGGATGCGGGGAAAATTGACGGGTAGGAAGGTATCAGTAGTGTAATGAATGACATTTGCTTGCAGGCCTTCTAAAGCCTTCGGAGTCAACTTTGCATCCTCGTGAAAACAAATCAAATTATTAACCTCATGGAAGTTCCTGTGACTTACTGCTGAAAGTCAGTTCACTTTGATTCTTAATACGTGCAGAGGGAACGATGAGATATCGAGTGTTGCTCTCTTAGTTCTTTTGCTCCACTTCTGCTCGTTTCTCTGCATGGTTTCAGTACTCTGCTTTATTTTGTCCACCCTATCCATTGAATTCTTCTTCTGAGAAAGGTGGGTCTCTATGCTGGGCTTAGGGTACCTGCATTTCCCTTTTGAGAGCCGCATGTTTGCATCAGATGGTGCTCCCTGGGGTGAGGAGAGGGGCTTGCCCGTGCCCTGGTCGCTACAGCGCTTCAGAAAATAGGAGAGGAAAACAAAAGCAAGCCCTGCTACTCTGCCAGTTTGGCTTAATGGTTGTGTTTCTCCCGTCTGAAGCAAACCCAATTTCTTCCTTTTGCAGACCTAAGTGGTTGGGGAAAACTGTTAGGCTGTGTAGGAGAAACGGTGCATGTCCCTGCTTTTCCTGGGGTGTCTTTAGAGTAGCTTTAAGCATTCCTTTTAGCAAGAGGAAGAAGACACTGTGAAGACAGAGGGATTTTCTTAATTGTGTTCCCTTAATGTTTTAAGGAAACTGACACGGGACTCTGAATTTTATCTCTGGTACCTACTGGGATCCCTTTTGGGCTCAGCAGTTTGAAAAATCAGGCTACTTGCCCCTGAGTGAAATGGAAGCAAAAATGTGAGATTATTTTATTTTTTTTTTTAAATTAATGCCCTTTTCAAATTGTTTTTGAAGGCTGTCCGCTCCTCGAGGATGTGTACCCAGAGATAACGCCTGCGATTGTCTCACCACCATCCCTGCTTCTGTAGGAACAAGGATTTTTGTTTCATCTGGCCATCCCAGTATTGTGAACGGGGGGTTATTATTTGTTCTTGACGTTTTTCTTCAGAATTATTTGACAGAAATAGGCGTGTGTGTACTTGTTCGGTTTGTGTTTTTTTTTAAATCACTGTGGTTTGTCCCTAGTTCTCTGTAACCACTCAGAAACAATACAGCCCAACAGTCTGTCACAGCAAACGAGCCTGGCACATCCACGGCGCTTCGCTCTATTGTGTCCGTGGAAGGCCCCCTCTGGATGGGAGGGGAGTGAAAAGTGAGAAAATGAAAAATTTTCTTTAAAAAGAAAAGAAAAAGACTTCTCTCTCGCTTCCTACTGGGGGAAATCTTAACTGAAATTCCCCTCTAGTGATGGGCTTTCCTTGGGGTCTGACTACTGGAGGTTTCTGGCTTGTGCTTTCTGTCCTGTGGGATTTTTCTGCCTGCAGTTCCCTCTGCCTCTCTCTGCCCAAACAACCAACTGCAGCAAACTCCTCTGCAGCGAGAGCCCCTGAATTTTCCAGCTTCTTCCTTTTTTACACTTGGTTGGAGAAGTGGTTGCAGTCATCGCTTCTGCAGCCGGGTCTGCTCCGCTTCCCCATGCTGCCGAGCTGTGCCCTGCCTGACCTGCGCTGTGTTTTGATTGCAGACACTGGGAACAAGGTTGCTTTACTGGGGAAAAACTCAACTCTGCATTTTCAAACGGGGAAAGTTCTCAAAATGGCTTTTCTAAGGCGTAAGGCAGGTACAGCAGCTTAAATACACACAGACCCTGCAGCCACAGGTCTGTGTCTGTAGTCAGACCCCAAGGAAAGCCCATCACTAGAGGGGAATTTCAGTTAAGATTTCCCCCAGTAGGAAGCGAGAGAGAAGTCTTTTTCTTTTCTTTTTAAAGAAAATTTTTCATTTTCTCACTTTTCACTCCCCTCCCATCCAGAGGGGGCCTTCCACGGACACAATAGAGCGAAGCGCCGTGGATGTGCCAGGCTCCTAAAACAGGAGTTGGTGTTTATCAGTGAGGGAAATCACCTTGTCTACGTGGGAGTGCTGGAATATTATTTTCAGTCTCAAACCTGGTTTGTGGGAATTCTTCCTCTTTCTTTAGGGCCGATAACGTGCCTCTTGCCGTTAATTACCAGGTGAGCTCACAGCAGTGTGAAAAGGGTTTGTGTGCATCTAGCAGTGCCAGTTTGCTTCGACTGAGATTTTTCTCTGCCTTTTAGGCAGGTTTTTTGTGGAAGGAGGCAGCGGTGGGCCCGGGGATGGCAGCTCACATACTGGGTGCTGCAGGAGGTGCCGGTGCCTGCAGCTCTCGGTGCAGTTTTCATGGTTTGAGAGCTTGCTGTGCTGTCCCCAAGGATATCGTCCTGGTGGCCGGGGAGAAAGGATGAGAAGGGGTCATGTGTATTGACAAGTTCTCTGTGTTTTCAGTGTGTGGCTGTGGGGAATTGCACCAAGACTTGAGCTGTTCAACAGAAGGACTTAAATTCCTTACCTTTGTTCTTTCTTAGCTTCTCAACCTCGTGAGTGGTCTGTAGACTCCTGCAAGGACTTTGTAAAGCAGCTGCGTATATTTCTGTTCCGTGATGCACAAAATCTTGTCTTTGGGGAGCCATTACTGTGTTTTATACTGGGACTGGCTCAGGGTGAAGCTGGTGTGTTTGCAGGAACCAAACAGAGAGCCCGACACTCCCTTCTGTTGCAAAACACTTTTGATTTAACGCTAGGAACGATTTGCTTTCCCTTGGGGGTGGCCTTGGGGAATAACAACCGGCCTGGGATTTTGTTGGAAAGTGAATATTGTTTAACATAAGTTTGTGTTGTTTTTTTTTTTTTTCTTTCCCCTTTCTTGTTTGTTTTTTTAATGTTAGGTTTGTGCTGGCTGTGGGCAGTGCAGTCTTTGATGCCATGTTTAATGGTGGAATGGCCACGACTTCGACAGAGATTGAGCTGCCTGACGTGGAGCCGGCTGCCTTCCTCGCTCTGCTGAAGTAAGCTGCTTCTGGTCTGCTCTGTAAATGGAATGAACAGATTTATCCTAGAGACAAATATATTTATAATGAAAGCAATTTTGTGGAGTGGAGATCGTTAAGTTTCTAAATAAAATGCCTCTTTGTTGATCTGCTCAAGGGCGTTTAAATGCTGGGGAAAAGTCTAGTGGGGCCACTGCACAAAAACACCTGACTCGCTCCACGTTTTGGTTTAGCAATAGTTAAATGAATGTGCCCTCCTGCTGCTGCTGGGCAAAACTACATTGGATAGTTTATAATTTTGTAAATATGTAGTTCTATATAGTTACACCACACAAATGCAGCAACGGGGAGATGTTCCTGTTGGCAGTTGGAGTAAGGTGGCCCTTGTAGTTGTTGATAAACTCATTGGCTCATAAATTCTTGTTCAAGAAGTGGTTTGATTTGATGGAAATGCTGTTTGAGAGAAGTGGGGAAAAGCAATCCTTTTAAAGCTCTGAAAGCTACAAGTAGTTGGAGCTCGTTTAGGTTATGGGCAAATGAGCAAGTTCTAACAGGTAAGCAAGGGTGTGAAATCACAGCCGTTCTGTGTGGTATCTCCTGTTGTGTGTGTTTTATTCCTCTCCTGGAGAGCTGGTTTTGAATTTACATTTCCAGCAAGTCTGCATGCGGGGGGAGCAGGAGGAAGGGGCTGTAACATCCTATTCACTGATTTCTTTAAGCTCGGCTGGTGCCGTGTCACACCCAGCAGCGATCCTGGATGTTACGCTGAAAAAGTCATTGTCCCGTTTCTATAGGATTTCTGTAACCTACTTCCAGGGGTTTCCAGTCCTGTGCTCTTGACACGTTCCCCGTTTGCTTCCTATGGGGAGCGATGACTATATATAGCTTTGGCACACTTTTTGCTTTACCTTCAAAAAGCCCTTCGGTCCTGGCTGCGCTATCTTAGAAGATTTAAAAATTGATCTTTGCTACAATGAAAAACCAGAAATAATAGGGAGCCCCGAGCCCCCTCCCCTCTGGCTCGTTCTAAACCAGGCTCCAGCACATGGGGAATCCCTCTAATTGGCATACGACTATCAGCCAGGTAAATCTCTCTGGAGCACAGAGCTAGTATCTATCTTTAAAACTTAGGCTAAAATATCGAGTGAATTAGAGGCAGAGTCATGTTGTTTCCCTGCCAGTGCTGAGATTTCAGCACTTCTATAAACGGTATGGTCATCTGAAAAGACTAAGGGGATGAGTTAAGGTGGATTTCAACAGAAACGTTTATATTTTGTGTAGGAGAAATTGTGTGTGGATTATCACGGTGCCTCTAAAGTTTGCAGTTAGGCTACAGTAGCCGTGCACGTGGTCCAGTGATACCTTAGATGCTTAATCTAGAATCAAACTGTCACTTTTAAAACACTCAGAGCTTAAACGTGCCAAAGGAAGTTTGGGTGCTGTGTTCTAGTAAGAAGCTTAACCAAGAACGTGGTGTGAACCTTCCTGGAGTAAAACCAGTCCCTCCAAATGCTGCTCTGCAGTGGCAGCTGGTCCTTACATTTGTACTGGGCTTGCTCCAAGCCATGACCTAATGCTGTGGGATCAGGAGCTTCTCAAGGAACAAAGTGCCCATCCTGAATGTTCAGCAGAAGGTCTCTTCTGGGCACTAGATTGTGATTGTGTTTGTGGGCTGGTGGCCTTTAATATGTCTGCTGTAATTGTGTAAGAGATCCTTTTTTATTATTATTATTTTCATGGTAACACAAAGAACATTTCTGATTGTATGGGGTTATCAAGAGATCCTTTTTTATTATTATTATTATTTTCATGGTAACACAAAGAACATTTCTGATTGTATGGGGTTGTAATCTAAGTCTTCTTTTAAATTGGTACTGCACTTTTTCACAGTTTGAGCCTCTCTTGTTACCCCTCTTAGCACACGCTGTTTGGACCATTGTAAAAATAAATACTAACATAGTCAGTGCAGTAAACAAACTAGTTGCTTTTGGAGCAACTGTGTTCTTTAATCTTGTCATAAAAAGGATTATTTAGTGAAAATAGGACTGGTGAAGGGATGTGTGCAAAATGCATTCATGAGCCCGTGGCTTGTTGCTGTTATTAACAGATGCTCTAGAGCAGCACAAAAGCCTGCTTTCAGCAGCCAGGAGAGCGCTTCCCTCCCTCTGAATCCCTGTTTGTGCTTCCCGGAATTGCATCCTGGCCCTCTCTGGCTGGAGGACCAGGAGCTCCCCTGCAAGTCCCTCCAGACGGGGACACTGCCTGGCTCTGTCCCCGCTGCCCTGTGAAGCCTCCAGGACCGGTGGCCACGCGACGCGTTGCTGTGTCCCCTTTGGAAAAATGCAGGAGAAGAAATTGCTGGAGTTTCCAGAATCTCCCCTGGAATAGGAATGCCAAGCACAGTTAAGAGCTGAATATTACGCCTCTGTGCTTTGTGCCTTTCAGATCCTGATTGGCAAACGCTCGACTGGTTGAAGGGAAAACAGTAAACAAAAACTCTGCATGGGATTAGGACTAACACCCAGTGTGTAACTGGTTTTAGTGAGCTCAGCCTGTGGGTTCCTGCTGGCTCTGAGCCGCACGCTTGGGTACGAGAGGCTCCGTCAGGATTCCTATGGGGACCTTTGTTTTTCCACGCGCTCTGAATGTCCATCCTTGTTTTGGCCTGACAGTGAGGGCTGATGCTTTGCTCGCAGCGTGGCCGTCCTTGTTTTTCATTGCAATTAACTCTTGCTTTATGCTGAAGTTCCACTGCGTGCTGGACTTTGCCATCTGTGTAACGAAATGAGACAGCTCCGTATATAAAGTGAGGAGACGAGGGGAAAGCAGGATATGGCTAAAACACCTCATCTGCGGTGGATTTATGTGTTTGAGCGGATTACTTCTCAAATAGTATGTAAAATGGAGCTTCTCCTCTGAACTAGACAGGCAGGATTGAATTTTTGTCCTTGTTTAGTCTAATCAAACAGCCAAAAATGTGAATTTTAAGGGGTGCGCTTGGCCAGAGACTGGTCTAGGCTGGAGTAAGTGGCAGGATAAACAGCTCGCTGGTTGTGGGATGCTGGGCAGTTTGACGTGCTTCAGCAGATATTCCAGCTATTCCATTCATTAAAAGTTATACTATAAAGAGTGTGGGTTTGAAAAAAAAAAAAAAAAAAAAGTTTCTCCTTGACAAACCAACGTCAGTGGAAAGGATATGAAAACCATTCCATCTCTCAAAGTATAGGAAATGGGGCCAGGGTGATGGGCAGACAAACATGGTTTTTTTATGAACTGCAAGGATTTTTATCTTGTTATCTTCTTGGCTTCACCAGAGCAATGTTTGTTTGCATGCTTTCAGATTTCTTTATTCAGACGAAGTTCAGATTGGACCGGAGACTGTTATGACAACACTTTACACAGCTAAAAAATATGCAGTTCCAGCCCTTGAAGCTCATTGTGTGGAGTTCCTGAAAAAAAACCTGCGGGCAGACAATGCCTTCATGCTGTTAACACAGGTGAGTTTGCAGTTGTTTGCATAAATTCCTTGAGTAATGGTCATCACAATAGGAAAACTGAATTCTTTGGAGTTGAATTGTCCAAAATGGAGTGATTCTGTGTCATTTTACATTCTTCTTTACAGGAGTCTAGTGCTGATGAGCACGTTCGTACAAAGAACAATAAAATCCAGCAAATGTTGGTGCCGTTTCAGATGTGCTTTCCCTTGTGGTGTGGAGGTGACTCCTTCCATAGTGTGAGCTGGGGAAGAAATTAACAGGGTGGAAAAATTTCATCTGCCAAGAGGAAAAGTGAAATTAGAGGATTTTTGCTTGTTCAGATTCAGGACTGGTGTAATAAGCTCTCTCTGCTTGCTCCATCCAGCTGGTCAGACATTCTTTGAAGGGCTTTTTTGCAATAGTTTCCCTGAACTGGGGGTGAAAGACAGAAAATGCAGCTTTTTCTTGAGTTTTTCAGTTTATTTTCCTGGGAGAGGAACGAAGCTCGTTCCAGCTCACCTTCCTGCTGTACCTAATAAGCTCTCTCTGCTTGCTCCATCCAGCTGGTCAGACATTCTTTGAAGGGCTTTTTTGCAATAGTTTCCCTGAACTGGGGGTGAAAGACAGAAAATGCAGCTTTTTCTTGAGTCCTTCAGTTTATTTTCCTAGGAGAGCTCGTTCCAGCTCACCTTCCTGCTGTACCAAAAGCACACAAACTGGAGTTTCAGTGCAGCTGCGTTTCTTGACTCTTGGTGGGGCCAGTTGCCCATCCCTGTGCCCCTCCATCTGATCCAATCTCCTCCATCTTCCATTGGACTCTTCGAAGCAGCAAACTGGAAGCCAGTATTTACAACTTCTGCTCATTTTGGAGAAGATCAGGCTTTGCATGCAGGCTGATTAAATTAGCATCAGTATCCTTCTCATTTCCTCGCCCCATCTTTTCTTTCTGGTCCCTGCCACCCTCTCTGCTGATGGTTAGTGACATATCAGTGACTTCCACAGCGCTGTCACCTGTGTGTTGCCAGGAACACCCTGCTCTGGGTGGTGTGGGAACCAGAAACACATAGGAATCGTGTGTGTGAGTTTCCTTCCTTTAGTGAATGGGCATCTGAGCTCTGGAGGAGGAGTTCTGATCCGCCTGCTCAGGAGAGCTGCCATGATTCCCCAGGGTCACAGAATGGTAAGGGTTGGAAGGGACCTTCGGAGATCATCTAGTCCAACCAAACACCATTTCTGGTGTTAAAAAATCCTTGCAGAGGAGTTTTCACACTGCCCTGACTTGGGAAGCAGTGTTGGTCGACTGTTGGCTGAACATGAGCCAGCAGTGTGCCCAGGTGGCCAAGAAGGCCTGTATCAGGAACAGCGTGGTGAGTAGGACCCAAGAGGTGATCATCCCCCTGTACTTGGCACTGGTGAGACCCCGCCTCGAGTACTGTGTCCAGTTTTGGGCCCCCCACCACACGAAAGACATTGAGGTGCTAGAAAGGGTCTAGAGAAGGGCAACGGAGCTTGTGAGGGGTCTGGAGAGTAAGTCTTATGAGGAGAGGCTGAGGGAGCTGGGGGTGTTCAGTCTGGGGAAGAGAAGGCTGAGGGGAGACCTTATTGCTCTCTACAACTCCCTGAAAGGAGGGTGTGGAGAGGCGGGGGTCGGTCTCTTCTCCCAAGTTACAGATGATAGGACAAGGGGTAATGGCTTCAAGTTGCGCCAGGGGAGGTTTAGACTGGACATTAGGAAACAATTCTTCACAGAGAGAGTGGTGGGGCATTGGGACAGGCTGCCCAGGGAGGGGGCTGAGTCCCCATCCCTGGCTGTGTTTAAGAAGCGTTTAGATGTGGTGTTGGGGGATATGGTGTGGGGGAGAACTTTAGAGTAGGGTGGATGGTTGGACTCGATGATCCCGAGGGTCTCTTCCAGCCTAGATGATTCTGTGATTGTGGTGGTCTGGCTCCGAGGTGTGGTCCTGCTTGCCCAGCATATCTGGGTGCTGCCTTCTCTCCTCCTTGTCAGGAGTACAAGTGTTTTTCAGGCTCTGACTGTAGTTACCACATCCCTGGCAGTGTCTGCACCAGCAGTTTTCACAGAAATGGAAGCACTGTTGGCCTGAAGCAGTCGCTCCTGAGGCTTGGCTTGGTTTCTGCGATCAGGCTGGGTTTTTATTTGACTTTAAATAGTAATATCAAGTCCTCAAAGTAGTTCCGTGTTCCGTTGCTGTTGTAGACACTTTGCTGCTAGGATTCAGCTGTTGATGCAAAATGCCATGGCCTTCTTCACATACCCTCTTTTTAACTCGTCCCTTTTCCACGTGCCACAAATAGGTGATGCAGCCTCTGCGACGCGGGGGGAAGATCCTGGCCTTAAAAACTCTCCCTTGGGTGATGGTAGCCATGTCTGTGCTCCCTCTTTGGCTGCAGCTCTCCTATTCCTCGGGTCCAGCAGCCTGAGGTCTGAAAGCTTGGGAGCTGTTATCCAGGAGCCAAGAAGAGCTCTTTCCTGTAGGCTGCGGTTGGGAAGAGCCATGGCCTCGTGAGGATTAGTGGTGTCAGCTTTGTGGTGGGGTTCTCTGTGCAGGGATTTCTCTGGCGTGCTAAGTCTCCGCAACCTGACTTTGCAGCTTTGGCAAGGTAACTTCCTTACGAGTCACAAAGGTCTTGCTTTGACAAAAAAAGGAAGGTGTTCCTAGTTTTTCAGATCTCAAAACCAAGATAGTCCCTGGCACTCTGTCAGCTGCGCTGGGGTGGCTGAAATGCCAGATGGAGACGGGCTTTCCTGGTCCCTTTTGTTTGTGGCTTATCCATTACGATTAATTATTAGTGGTGATTCGTATCTAGTTTATGTTCTAGTTACATAAACTAGATTTGTTCTGGTTTATGTGGTATATTGCAGTACATCAGGTCTCTAAAATGTTAGAGGCTGATGTTCTTTGAGAAACGTATCTGCATCTTGGGCTGCATGAGATACCTCACTTCATGGAGCTGTTCTCAAAATGCTCTTGGTTTCACTGAATTTCACTGAATTTTTAGAGTTGGAAGGGACCATAGAAATCATCTAGTCCAACTCCCCTGCTGAAGCAGGACCACCCAGAGCTTGTCAGAGCATGTTACTCAGGAGCATCCAGGCGGGTCTTGAAAATCTCCAAAGAAGGGGACTCCACAACCTCCCGGTTCTGGTCCTTCAGTGTGAAAATCGGCCTCTGTTTTCTGCTTTTGCTGTGACAAATTGACAATTTGTACAACCAGTTACAGGCTTCAGAGTGTGGACTTTAAGATCGCAGAGCCCCAAACCTCCTTTGCGTCTATGGCTGCTGAATCCTGCTGGTCCAGCAGCCGTGTCCCTGACAGCGTTTGGAGCAACTGCAAATCTGTGGCAGAAATATCAGTGGCAAACAGCTCTCCTAATTGATCGTGCCTCGTAGCAAACCCTGATCCTCTTTCATGCCAAGACCTACATGCAAATGTCACTTTGATCAACAAGGAAACAATAGCTTGCCCAAAGCCGTGGTGGGGGAGAACTCTCCCAGCGTAAGGCAAGTCCTTCACGTGTCAAAGGAGAAGCCACTTCAGTAGTAACGTCTGAGGCAGTCGCAGCTCTTGGGTGCCAGGAGCGTGAGGCCCTGGCAGGTCTCTAGCCCCAGAGCAGACAATCCCTGCTGAACTTCCCTGCTCCTCAGAAAACATGGAGCTGTTTCACTTTTCCACACTTGAGGTCTTGGCGTCGAAGGTGGGCCTTGCTGAGCTCTGCAGCCCGTGAGCAAGGGTGAAGCAGAAGATGCTCCATAGTGCTAAGCCTCCATGAGTGCCTGAATTCCCAGCCCAAACCACGATTTTTGAGCCTTTCCTATGGCAGTGGGTTCAAGTCCCAGTGTGCCCTTGCACTAGTGCTAGGTGTGATGTTAAGGCAGTTCCTTCCTAAATAGCAAAAACCAAAGCATTGGTAATAAGAGATCGTCTTAGTGACTCTTGTGTGTTCCCACCTCATTTCTGGTTCTGCTGGGTACAGGGATGGTTGGACTTGATCTTAAAGGTCCTTTCCAACCTAAATTATTCTGTCATTCCATGTCTTGGTGGTCCAGGAGCATCTGAAGTGAAATTGTTATGAGACTACACTTACTCTGCGCAGAGAGATTCTGAGCTGTGTGCAGGCTTTGTTTGGAACAGTAACCTATTTTGGGGGGAGTTCTTTAAGGTAACTAGATTAGAGTAGCTGTTTCTGTGCAAAACACGCAGCTGCACTACCCAGGCTGTGTCCCCCTCGCACACATCTCGGTGGGACACACAGTGTCCCTGCTAGGGCCTTTTTGCTAATACCTGAGCTCAGTGTGACTATATTTTTACAGAATAAGCTATTTCCGCGTATCCCTAGAGCGAGCAGGTTGGATTGTTGGACAAAGCTTTTGTCTAAATATAAAAATGCTGTAGTAAAACTCGCCCGTGCTGGGCTGACGCGGTCAGTGTGCGCGCTAGAAAAGCGCTGCAGCCGCGGTAACTGATGTGATGGTAAAACAAAGACGTGCCTGAAGACATGCACGGCTAAAGCAGAGCTCATGCCAAGGGCAGATTTTTCTAGTGTTTGCCTTGTCATGCTTAACTGCTTGTGAAAGGCTGCTGCGGCCCAGCGAATTCATCACCAGTCAGGCGTAGTATTGCTAACAAAGATGGGCTCGGGGAGAGAAGGGGGGGGGTCCTCACTTAGTGTAAACTTTAAAATCCCTTTTGTGTTAACGACTGCTTCTTCATTACTAGGCAAGACTTTTTGATGAGCCTCAGCTGGCCAGCCTCTGCCTGGAGAACATCGACAAGAACACGTCAGATGCCATCAATGCGGAGGGGTTCACAGACATCGATCTGGGTAAGCTTATTTTTTCCCCCCTCCACCCTCTACGTGCTTTCAGAACATTCCAGCCTCTAGAGTTATTACAGGTTAATACTTGGCACTTTTGTGGCTTTGCTGTTCTGGAGCAATCTGTTGAACCAACAGTCTCTGGCACTGAGTGGCTGCAGACCAGGCGTTTGCAAAAGAGCGCGCTTGCTTGCAGAAATACCCTGGAATCTGCTTACTTTGGTGCAACCTGAGTTTTCTGGGCATGATACAAAGCCCGTTTCCTCTGTTGACGTTGGCAGGTTTGGGGTGGGTGTAACTTGCTGCCTTTTGTGAAGTTGGCACCGTTCCCTGAGCCTGTGTCAGGTTTTGGAGTTAAAAAGGTGTTGCGCTTTTGGAAGCAAGAACTGGCTATTTTAATTATCCTATGCAGTCTCCAAGCTTGCCGGGCACAGTTAATAAACATTAAAATTCAGACTTTAACCTTCCTCCTGATGAGATGGACTGTGGAGGTAAAGCATGGGCAGCCTTCTGGCTTTCGTGCTGCTTGCTTCATCCAAATGTGACGTCAAGTGAGTTGCAATTCATTTTACTGCAGTTGCATTAACGTGCCAATTAAATGGGCAGTGTTTGCTGCTCCAGTGAGTTACTTGCTTGTGGAACATGCAGATATATCTCCCTCGGAGGCCTGTTTTTTTCACTTGCTTCTCTTTTGCTCACCTTGGCTGTAGGTAGGGTACTCCTGGCTGGGTAAAACGGGGTGATTTGGGTTAGTGCCTAAAGTCGTGGCTCTCTGTCCTGCCTTGCAGACACTCTGGTTGCAGTGCTGGAGAGGGATACCCTGGGCATCCGGGAGGTTCGTTTGTTTAATGCTGTGGTTCGCTGGTCGGATGCTGAGTGTCAACGGCAGCAACTTCAGGTGATTCCAGAGAACAAGCGGAAAGTACTGGGCAAAGCACTTTCTCTTATCCGCTTCCCATTGATGACTATTGAGGAGTTTGCAGCAGGTAACTGAACAAAGGCCTTTCTGGCAACCCCTGGTCTTTGCTTTCTCTGAACTGCAGAGGATCAAGTAGATGCAAATGGATTTTCTCTGTGTATCCTGTTGTAATTTAAATTTGAGGCGATCCCCTATTCCCACTGATCTGCAGAATCTACTGTGTGAATGCTGTTTTCATTCATAATCACTCACTTTTTTAAAGACTGTGCTGCTCCATCAAGTAGGAGCAAGTTGCATCAGAACAGTTTGTACTCATGGTGTGGTTACTGTCTCTTTCAGCTGAGAGCTGAGATCCAAACAGGGGTTCACATGTTTTCCTGTCTAACCATTCCAAGCGTTTAAACTCCACGAAGCTAATGGAGTTGCAAATAATTGCTGTTGATTGCAGCCTGCTCCCAAAGAGAAATGAGGATGTTTCTCCCCATTCTGTGTCTGCTGCTGCCTGTGATCCAGTGGTGGGGTTGGCCATGTCTGGTTGATGCCTTTCAGAGCAGAGCCCCCTAGCAGAAACAACTTTCAAAATGTTCTGTGAGCTGAGGGGTTAGTGTTGTTTAGTCTGTGACCCAAAGCATTTTTCATGTTTACATTAAGATCTGGATCTACAAAAATGTTTAAATCATTGAACAGTTTTGACTAAAGATTTTTTTTTTGGTTTGTTTTCATGGCCTGTTGTCTTTGACTTCATGCTCTGGTGATTCTCCAGGGATTGAAAACTGGCCATCGGTTTAAATAGTTCTCATGCTAAAAGACACTGTGGAGCCATTATCAAAACTGAAACTTGATTTAGGCTGCAAAGAAGCAAAGCGGGTCACTGACACCACTTCCTTTGCACGTCACTTCTCAAGGCAGAGAAGCTTAGCAACAGTTAATGTACAGATTTCAAGATGAAGATGAATATTAGTAAGAAGTAAATCTGTGCTTAAAACTTGGTACCCGCTTTCTATTTTGCCTGTCACAGCTGTGATGTGGTCTTAGGGATGTGAATCTCTTCAGAAGTGGCTTAGTCAGGGAGGCAGGGATCTGTTCATCCAAACTGGGAGACTTCCCTTTGTGTTGGCACCGGGTGAACACACGGCACACTCTGTTCTGTGTGCACTGAGCCAAAGGGTGCAGCAGATCACAGAATTGTACAGTGGGTTGGGTGGGAAGGGACCTGGAAGCCCCCCCAGTGCCACCCCCTGCCCTGACTTCCCTTTGTGTTGGCACCGGGTGAACACACGGCACACTCTGTTCTGTGTGCACTGAGCCAAAGGGTGCAGCAGATCACAGAATTGTACAGTGGGTTGGGTGGGAAGGGACCTGGAAGCCCCCCCAGTGCCACCCCCTGCCCTGGGCAGGGACACCTCCCACCACACCAGGTTGCTCCAAGCCCCCTCCAACCTGCCCTTGAACCCCTCCAGGGATGGGGCAGCCACAGCTTCTCTGGCCAACCTGGGCCAGGCTCTCCCCACCCTCACCCCAAACAAGTTCTTCCCCACAGCTCAGCTCCATCTCCCCTCTTGCAGGGTCCAACCCTTCCCCCTCCTCCTAGGGCTCCCCTCCCTCATCCAGAGTCCCTCCCCAGCTTTCCTGGAGCCCCCCTTCTTGAGGGACTGGAAGGGGCTCCAAGGTCTCTGCGGAGCCTTCTCTTCTCCAGGCTGAACCCCCCCAACTCTCTCAGCCCCCCCTCCCAGCAGAGGGGCTCCAGCCCTCCCAGCATCTCCGGGGCCTCCTCTGGCCCCGCTCCAACAGCTCCATGTCCTTCTGCTGGTGGTGGCCCCAGAGCTGGAGGCAGCACTGGGGGGTGTCTCCCCAGAGCGGAGCAGAGGGGCAGAATCCCCCCCTGGCCCTGCTGGGAGAGAGCATCCTCCTGGATAGCTCTACACCCCTCAGAGTAGTTCCTGTCTACCAAGCTTTGTGTTTTTCTATAGATCCTGTTTCTTTCAGCCCTTCTTTCAGATCTTGGATATCCTGTTTCACTGGGAGGAATGTGTTAATTTTGACATATTTTGGTTGAATCCTTTGAGCTGGGGATGTCAGTGCCCTTCCCCACACTGTCACAACTGCCTCTTGACTCTGATCTTTGGTTAATCGTCTTGATTTGAGAGGAACTTGTAAGTTTTCTCCATCCACTTTAACCTCAAAAATGAACAAAAGCAATGCTCAAAGGTGAGAGGCTGCACTGGTCAACTCGTCCCTAAACGAGGGACTACCCTGAAATTGCTTCAGCTTTGTCCTTTTTCTGAGTTCCAGGGTGACTGGGATTTCTTTGGTGATGACAGCAGAGGTAGGAGAGGGAAACCACTCCCCTCCGCCCCCCTCTCCCAAAAGAACAACAACAAAAAAGGATTTTTACAGGCAGTGGTTTCACCAGTTTATTGTATATTCTGGTGTCGAACATGGAATTTTGCATGAAGATGTTTTAACTGGCAAACGCGTCCCTCCCCTCCCTTAGAGCAAGTAATCTGAAACATTTAAGAACAGGATAAGTTTAGACATGATCAATGACGGCTGATTTTTGCTGAGCAAAGTGTCCAAGAGCTCATTTATCTGTTAACAGTCCTTAAATTCTTTCATCTCTCCCTATTGCAGCCTTGGACCACGTTACATCTGTGTAATGTCGTGCTGAATTTAACCAACTACAGGTTGCTTTGGGCCAAAGAGTCACCAGGCATTTGCTTCCCCCAATAACGAGCACTTACTGCTGTTGTTTCTCAAGTAGGCAGTGGTCTTGTTTCTCTTAAAATCCTCTTGCAAATAGAGGTGCAGAGTGCCTTTTGACTCCTAAGCTAAAAGACTACCTTTTACCTGGATCCACTTTTGAAAGTATTTGAAGTAGTTTCCAAAGCTTGAGGTCAGCATCGCTTTAGAACAAACATCTGGTTACTGGAGAAAAGATGAGAACGTGGTTCAACTCTTCCTAAAATTGTTAGCGTTTTTCCTTAGGTCCTACAATAAAGGTATTAAAAAACCAAACAAACCCAAAGCAGGGATTAAATTTCCAAGGGAAGGAGGGGCAGATGGCATGAGATGAACCACCTTTGACTGTCCTGTGCTATCTAAGTTGATGGTAACCAGGTGACGTTCCCTCCTGCTGCCCCTGATGGGCTTTACCAGTATTATCATCTCCTGAGGGAGTGGGGGAGGAATGCCCTGCATGTTTTTAGGTTTTTAAACCAGTCCTGTGCCAAATGATCTGCAGAGCCACATCCTTAATCACCATTTCCTGTACCTGCTGCGTATGGAGGCTCTGCAGTCCATGGCTGGAGGCAGATAAAAGGCGGGCACCACGTTCTGTCTGGGGTTTAACTTCCCCACACACCAACGACATCATGGAATAACAGACTGGTTTGGGTGGGAAGGGACCTCAAAGCCCCCCCAGTGCCACCCCCTGCACCAGGTTGCTCCAAGCCCCCTCCAACCTGCCCTTGAACCCCTCCAGGGATGGGGCAGCCACAGCTTCTCTGGCCAACCTGGGCCAGGCTCTCACCACCCTCACACCAAACAAGTTCTTCCCAATATCTAACCTCAATCTCTCCTTTTTCAGCTTAAAACTCTTCCCCCTCCTCCTAGGGCTCCCCTCCCTCATCCAGAGTCCCTCCCCAGCTTTCCTGGAGCCCCCCTTCTTGAGGGACTGGAAGGGGCTCCAAGGTCTCTGCGGAGCCTTCTCTTCTCCAGGCTGAACCCCCCCAACTCTCTCAGCCCCCCCTCCCAGCAGAGGGGCTCCAGCCCTCCCAGCATCTCCGGGGCCTCCTCTGGCCCCGCTCCAACAGCTCCATGTCCTTCTGCTGGTGGTGGCCCCAGAGCTGGAGGCAGCACTGGGGGGTGTCTCCCCAGAGCGGAGCAGAGGGGCAGAATCCCCCCCTGGCCCTGCTGGGAGAGAGCATCCTCCTGGATAGCTCTACACCCCTCAGAGTAGTTCCTGTCTACCAAGCTTTGTGTTTTTCTATAGATCCTGTTTCTTTCAGCCCTTCTTTCAGATCTTGGATATCCTGTTTCACTGGGAGGAATGTGTTAATTTTGACATATTTTGGTTGAATCCTTTGAGCTGGGGATGTCAGTGCCCTTCCCCACACTGTCACAACTGCCTCTTGACTCTGATCTTTGGTTAATCGTCTTGATTTGAGAGGAACTTGTAAGTTTTCTCCATCCACTTTAACCTCAAAAATGAACAAAAGCAATGCTCAAAGGTGAGAGGCTGCACTGGTCAACTCGTCCCTAAACGAGGGACTACCCTGAAATTGCTTCAGCTTTGTCCTTTTTCTGAGTTCCAGGGTGACTGGGATTTCTTTGGTGATGACAGCAGAGGTAGGAGAGGGAAACCACTCCCCTCCGCCCCCCTCTCCCAAAAGAACAACAACAAAAAAGGATTTTTACAGGCAGTGGTTTCACCAGTTTATTGTATATTCTGGTGTCGAACATGGAATTTTGCATGAAGATGTTTTAACTGGCAAACGCGTCCCTCCCCTCCCTTAGAGCAAGTAATTTGAAACATTTGAGAACAGGATAAGTTTAGACATGATCAATGACGGCTGATTTTTGCTGAGCAAAGTGTCCAAGAGCTCATTTATCTGTTAACAGTCCTTAAATTCTTTCATCTCTCCCTATTGCAGCCTTGGACCACGTTACATCTGTGTAATGTCGTGCTGAATTTAACCAACTACAGGTTGCTTTGGGCCAAAGAGTCACCAGGCATTTGCTTCCCCCAATAACGAGCACTTACTGCTGTTGTTTCTCAAGTAGGCAGTGGTCTTGTTTCTCTTAAAATCCTCTTGCAAATAGAGGTGCAGAGTGCCTTTCCACTCTTAAGCTAAAAGACTACCTTTTACCTGGATCTACTTTTGAAAGTATTTGAAGTAGTTTCCAAAGCTTGAGTTCAGCATCGCTTTGGAAAAAACATCTGGTTACTGGAGAAAAGATGAGAACGTGGTTCAACTCTTCCTAAAATCGTTAGTGTTTTTCCTTAGGTCCTATAATAAAGGTATTAAAAAACCAAACAAACCCAAAGCAGGGATTAAATTTCCAAGGGAAGGAGGGGCAGATGGCATGAGATGAACCACTCTTGACTGTCCTGTGCTATCTAAGTTGATGGTAACCAGGTGACGTTCCCTCCTGCTGCCCCTGATGGGCTTTACCAGTATTATCATCTCCTGAGGGAGTGGGGGAGGAATGCCCTGCATGTTTTTAGGTTTTTAAACCAGTCCTGTGCCAAATGATCTGCAGAGCCACATCCTTAATCACCATTTCCTGTACCTGCTGCGTATGGAGGCTCTGCAGTCCATGGCTGGAGGCAGATAAAAGGCGGGCACCACGTTCTGTCTGGGGTTTAACTTCCCCACACACCAACGACATCATGGAATAACAGACTGGTTTGGGTGGGAAGGGACCTCAAAGCCCCCCCAGTGCCACCCCCTGCCCTGGGCAGGGACACCTCCCACCACACCACGTTGCTCCAAGCCCCCTCCAACCTGCCCTTGAACCCCTCCAGGGATGGGGCAGCCACAGCTTCTCTGGCCAACCTGGGCCAGGCTCTCCCCACCCTCACCCCAAACAAGTTCTTCCCCACAGCTCAGCTCCATCTCCCCTCTTGCAGGGTCCAACCCTTCCCCCTCCTCCTAGGGCTCCCCTCCCTCATCCAGAGTCCCTCCCCAGCTTTCCTGGAGCCCCCCTTCTTGAGGGACTGGAAGGGGCTCCAAGGTCTCTGCGGAGCCTTCTCTTCTCCAGGCTGAACCCCCCCAACTCTCTCAGCCCCCCCTCCCAGCAGAGGGGCTCCAGCCCTCCCAGCATCTCTGGGGCCTCCTCTGGTCCCACTCCAACAGTTCCCACCTCTGATGTGGGTCTGACCCACTCTTAGCTGCCAGTGGAGCTTGTCTCCCCACGTAAATCCCTGAAGGCTCCCATCTGGTTTCCAAAGGCTGATGGCATCGCTGCTCTCGTGCTCCTCTGCAGGCCCTGCCCAGTCAGGAATCCTCACGGACCGGGAGGTGGTGAGCCTGTTCCTCCACTTCACCGTCAACCCCAAGCCACGGGTGGAATTCATCGACCGGCCGCGCTGCTGCCTGCGGGGGAAGGAGTGCAGCATCAGCCGATTCCAGCAGGTGGAGAGCCGCTGGGGGTACAGTGGGACTAGTGACAGGATAAGGTCAGCTTCTCTGCTAATTCTGCTGCTGATAGATAAGTGTTTACTGAGCTTTGAGCCTACTCTAGACCTAAACCCACAAGCTTACGTGCCAGACCCCGACTTCCACCAGATAAACTGAGTGTGAACCCTGCAGGGAAAGCGTTTTGCTGGGTGAGAGCATCACTTCATGTGTCACCCTGCATGTGTGGTTGCAGCTCCCACTTCACTTCAGTATTGGCAAAGTTTTCCAGCAAACATGGCCCTCCAGCACGGGACTCTTGGGGGATTATTTCTCCCCTTTTCAAGTGGCTTCCTGCAGCCGTACGGGCACCTGGTGGTTGGAATGACCAGGCAGCTCCTGGCTTCCCCCTGTGCCTGGGAGCATCAGCCCCATGGGGTCAGTTCCCTGCTCTCTTCTGAGTGTAAATGTGCTTTGTTGAAGCCCCTTAATCTTGCCTGTTTGAGGGAGGGATTAGGATAAAATCTTGCTGTGCCTGCTTTTCTGCCGGTCTCTAGTTTGTTTAGGCCTAACCTTGTAGAGGAACAGCAAAGCCCAGCCGTGGTGACAGTGACGTGGAGGTGTGAGGTGGTGAGGCTTTGTGTGGCCAAGCGGTGAGAGCGAGAGGGGAGGTAGTTGGAAAGCCTGGGTTTTGGCCCCATTCGTCTTTGTCTTGGGTGGAAGGGGGACTCGTACAGTTCTTGAAAATTCTCAAGATTTTTCATCAGTGGTCCTCTTGCGTGTTGATAGAGCTGTGGGTTGGATCTTTTGGGCCATCCACCCCCTGACAGGAGATGGTAGTTGGTGGAGTTGATAGCTCCCGACTTTTCCTGCTCTCGGATTGAGTGTTCAGAGACCTTTTGGAGCTTGTATTTATCTTTAAGCTCCACAGCTGTCAGGGTCAGTCTTCATGGAGGCTTGTGTGCGGTCTCAACACTGACTGTCCTTTGGTGGCAGAGCAGGGGCCTCCAACCTCCCCCAGGTGTTTGTTCTTCAAACAGGCAGGACCGAAAATGCTGGTGGGTGGGTGGAGAAGTTCTGTGGGGAGTTTGGCAGGCGCCGAGGCTTCCTGGTGCTGGGAAGATGGAGCTGTCACAGGGCAGTGGGGTGAATGTCCTCCCCCCTGCTGCCGTGGGCCGCCGGGGTTCCTGTCTTCAGGAACTTTGAAGTCTTATTTTCTGCTCTCGGGTAAACCTGGAGCGCAGTTACCCTGCAGCAAATCCTCAGGAGCACATTAATGCTTCCCATCAGTGCTCAGCAGGGAAGTATCTAATGACTTTAAGTGGTCTTTGCTGTGACCTTGCTGGGAAGGTGTGAGGGTGGACACTGCTCTGCAGCCTCTGCCTGGCTGTGGGTTTGGACGCTGACGTTGTACCACCACCTCAAAACCCTTCCTGGGCCTGGGCACTAATGTTCCATGGTGGGACTGTGCAGCTCTGCATTTCACACGAGCAGCCAAAATCCTTGCCAGCCCGTCAGCACAGCCAAAGGTGTGAGCTCCCAAAGGATGGTTTCTGTAAAAGATTTCAGTTATTAGTAAGACTTGCACTAAAACTGTGGTGTGTTTGATTAAACCAGAGGTGTAAAATTCAAGTGAGTGAAGACACTTGTGTGTCGTCCTTGTACTAAACCAGCCAGGGAGTGGCAAGTTGGTCTGACTTTCCTGATCTGTTCCTGCAGGTTCTCAGTAAACAAAAGGATATTTGTAGTTGGGTTTGGATTATACGGATCCATACACGGGCCAACGGATTACCAAGTAAATATACAGGTAATTCTCTCTACTCCATTGAAAATACTCGCTGCTGGGGGGACTGACTTAAACATTTTAGTGAAAACGCAACAAAATCTTGAGTTAGGAGGAACTGCGTTTGTTTAGTAGACAGGGTGGTTGGCAGATGTAGGGAGGGCCAGATGGGGCAGCAGGGATAAGAGGGATTATTGCTTGTGATTTGAAACAACCTCCCGTTCATGCGTCACCGCAGCAGCTCCCCGAGTCCCCTCACAGCCCTGGATGATGCTGTGTGAGGCTGTGACACAGTTTGGGAAGAGGCTGGGCATGTGTTACACCGAGCAGGCCAGTTCTGCCCCACAGGAGCTGCAGCAGCAGTGGGGTGCTGCCAGGGTGCTGGGCTTCTCTCTTGCTCCGGGCTCTACGAACGCAGGGGAGCAGCAGGAGAGAGGAGGAGGCGGTTGCTGTGTCCGTGCTGGGCCTGTGCGGTGCCGTGTGCGGCCTCTTGTCATCATTGTCCCCTTTGGGATGACATAGGACTGAGGGAGACCCAGTTGTCTGAAGTCCATCGTGATCTTCCTCAAAGACTGGGGCGGTTTATCACAGAATCACAGAATCTTCTAGGTTGGAAGGGACCTTCAAGATCATCTTGTCCAACCGTCAACCTCACTGACAAAAATAGACACCCCCACAACAAACAAGGAGCATCACCATCACTAGACCATACCTCCCAGCACTACATCAACCCATCTTTTGAACACCTCCAGGGATGGGGCCTCAACCACCTCCCTGGGCAGCCCATTCCAGTGTCTGAAATCTGCTGTGCCTTGTTCTGGGTGTGTGTGGTAACCCTCATCTGGATGACCTGAGAAGAACCATCCCCAGGAAAGATTCACAGACTGGATTGGGTTGGAAGGGACTTTAAAGATCATCTTGTTCCAACACCTCCCACCATACCAGGTTGCTCCAAGCCCCCTCCAACCTGCCCTTGAACCCCTCCAGGGATGGGGCCTCAACCACCTCCCTGGGCAGCCCGTTCCAATGGCTGAGCCCATTCCAATGTCTGAAATCTGCTGTGCCTTGTTTTGGGTGTGTGTGGTAACCCTCATCTGGATGATCTGCTGTGCCTTGTTCTGGGTGTGTGTGGTAACCCTCATCTGGATGACCTGAGAAGAACCATCCCCAGGAAAGATTCACAGACTGGATTGGGTTGGAAGGGACTTTAAAGATCATCTTGTTCCAACACCTCCCACCATACCAGGTTGCTCCAAGCCCCATCCAGCCTGCCCTTGAACCCCTCCAGGGATGGGGCAGCCACAGCTTCTCTGGCCAACCTGGGCCAGGCTCTCCCCACCCTCACACCAAACAAGTTCTTCCCCACAGCTCAGCTCCATCTCCCCTCTTGCAGGGTCCAACCCTTCCCCCTCCTCCTAGGGCTCCCCTCCCTCAGCCAGAGTCCCTCCCCAGCTTTCCTGGAGCCCCCCTTCTTTAGGGACTGGAAGGGGCTCTGAGGTCTCCCTGGAGCCTTCTCTTCTCCAGGCTGAACCCCCCCAACTCTCTCAGCCCCCCCTCCCAGCAGAGGGGCTCCAGCCCTCCCAACACCATCAGCCTGGCACGGCTGATAAAATGAGCACAGTCTGTCAGCACCTCTTCCTTGCCAGGGTCTCCTGGTGCCCCTCAGCTCTTGGAGGAGAAGGGCAAGCCAAGATCTAAGTGCAGAACGTCACCTGAAGTCCTCTGCCAGGCTTCAGGGGAAGCAGCCAGTGTCCCCAGCTGCCCAGGACCCACGGTTTGGTGTGGTCACAGCAGTGCAGATGGACAGAAGTGACGGGACAGTGTGGTTGTAATGGGGCTGGTCCAACTGTTGGGTCCCTCAGAGTCAGTCTGGTTTGGGGGGACACACCTGCACTGTTCAACCGACGGCGCAGATTGAACGTTACTGTGTGTCTTGCAGATCATCCACACGGACAGTAACACGGTCCTGGGGCAGAACGACACGGGCTTCAGCTGCGACGGGTCATCAAACACTTTCCGGGTCATGTTCAAGGAACCTGTTGAGATTTTACCCAACGTCAACTACACGGCGTGTGCTACTCTGAAGGTACCACCGGGGCGGGGGGGGAGGAGGGAGGTGGATAAAGATGGGTGAAACCAAGACAGGTTCTTGCTCTGTGTTTTTCAAGGCCCACAGTGTCACCTCCAAGGTCTGCTCTGTGGTCCTGCAGTTTGTGGAGCACGTTCACCAGCGTTTAGAGCAGGCTTTTAACTTGTAATTAAGAGGCTACAGCAGTGATGAAGTGATGGGATGTTGGTTTTTGGTGCGTACAGATAAGCTGTCGGTTCTGCGGGTGTGTAACCCAGAGCCCGCCTGCAGTGGCGTAAAAAAGTTGATGTTTAACTGTTGAGATCTGGTTAAACGCAGTGTTACGTTCTGATAGAGACGAGAACTTTGCTCAAAATACCTGAGGTGCAAGAACCAGAAAGCAAAGGGAGGTGCTGGGATCTCCAGAGCTCGTTGCTTTGGGCCAGAGCTCCCGGCGTGGGGCTGGGCAGCGGCGTCCCGCGAGGAGCCATCCCCATCTTCACCTGTCCTTGTTTCTGTGACCATCACAGGGTCCAGATTCCCACTACGGAACCAAAGGACTGCGCAAAGTGATCCATGAGTCACCAACAACGGGAGCCAAAACCTGCTTCACGTTCTGTTACGCGGCGGGGAACAACAACGGCACGTCGGTGGAGGATGGACAAATCCCAGAGATCATCTTCTACACATAGTGCAGCTGCGGAGCCCGCTCGGGACTTTCCTCTTCTCTTCCCCGTGACCTTCCAAACTAAATTTCTGGCTGAGTTTGACCACACCGATTGGAGCCACACTAGCCAAAGGTCTCAGTAAAATCATTTCAAAGCTCATGTTTTTTGCCTTGTGCTAGTGATTCTGCTGCTATCACGTACCAGACTAACTGGTACCCCAGTACCATTCGTAGGTTGTCCGTGGCTAGTCATTTTTCACTTTTACCGATTAATCCTAACTAACAACATGCGTTTTTTTGGACTGTAATGAATGTAGATGCTTTTCCACCGGTCAGAAGCATGGAAACGAGTGGCTCTGGTTGTGGTTATACTGGTTTTGAGGAGATAATCCCTCGGAAAGATGCAGCCCAGGGCTGTGTGGCCCGTCCTCTGCTCTGGCGCGGCGGCGGAGGGGAGAAGGGTTTGGGGCTCGGCCACCCCCTGCCCTGTGTTGTCCCTCCCTCCACCCACTGTGGCTCCTGTGGCAAAAAGTGACACGGAAAGTGGCCTTTTCCCTGAGGCCTGGCTGTTCCAGCACTACAGGGGCTGGAGGGGACACCTCCAAACTCTGGAGAGACTGCAGCCTGCTCTCCCTGCTGGGTGACAATCCCGCACCTCGGGCAGCTGGTGACAGCCATGGGGCAGTGGCTCGGGCTGGGCAGCTTCTTCCCTGTTCCCTCTGCCCCCCCGGGGCCTGGCCCTGCTTCTCCCAAACCCCGGGTGATGTGGGATGAGCCCCGTGCTAATTGTGACCGTGCTAATCAAATCCTTCGCAGCTGGTGCCGGGGTTTGGCAGCTGGAGGGAGGGAGGGACCTGGCCTCACCTGCCCCCCCCTGCCCCCGGGTGTTGCTGCTGTTCTCATGCACGTTTCAATGCATTTTCTCTCTGGTGGTTTCCCTGCTCTCCCAACCCCCCCCGGGGGGGCTCCCCCCCCACTGCCACGGAGGAGGAGAGGTTTGAGGTGCGACCGCCCGTCACCGGCAACGCAGCAGATGGACTGGGATTGATGGAAGAGTTTAGGAAAACAGTAAAGATTTTTCTGTTTGCCTGCCTGTGTTTGCACAGTCGGGCTGCTCGGGCAGGCGCAGGAGGAAGATGGACAACCATCACCTGGCTTTGGGCTCAGTGATCCTGAAGACACCCCGTTCTTACCCCTCGAGGGCCGGTTGCTTTTCCCCAGGAGCAGGTACAGCTTCAGCTGGGCGGGGAAGGTCTGTCCTGCCCGGGAGCAGGTCAAGGCTCGGACTTTGAGCAACAGTTGCTGGTGAAGACAACGAGGCCATTTCCTCCCCTTCCCCTGCAGAGGAAGCTGTGATGAAAGCACCGCTCGGCAGCGCGGCCGGAGCCTTCCCCAGTCGGTGCGGGACTCGCCGGCAGCGCTGGAACTGCCCCAAAACGGAGCTTCCCCTTCACCAACCCCCGCCCCGGGCACAGGGAGCCGCTGCCACTCACCAGGAGTTGGAACTCGCCGTCGTAACTCACCATCTTTAACTGCTGGAAGGCAAAACCTGGTCGTCCCGTGGCTGGAGCGGGTGGCTCGGTGCCCGCTCGCTCTCTGGGGACATGGCATCTCCTCCTCTTCCTCCCCACGGTGGGGTTGGGGCTGCCCTGGTACCTCCATCCCCCGCGCAGCAGAAATCCTGTCAGGAACACCCTGCACCTCCCAACCAGTAGCTGTTAGAGATGTCAATAGTGTGTTAACCTTCTCTAGGAAGACGGTGTAAGATGTGTGTGTTGTCAGCCTGCCCCCAGGTAGGGTGGAGCTAATATGGCCAGTACTAAAAAAAAAAAAAGAAAAGATTAAAAAAAAAAAAAAAAAGAAAATAAGGGTCCATGACTTAGTTATTGAACCTGACTCTGTGCAATGCAAAGGGTGGTGTGAGGTGGATTCACTGACCGGGCAGGCTCCTTCCTCTGCTGGGAGGTGGCCCCGTGGGGTGTAGGTGGCTGCACCCCCCTCTGCCCCCCTGCTCCGGGGCTGGGGGAGCTTCACTACGAGCCCCTGAGGAGCGTCTCGGGGCCTGCGCCTTCCCCGGGGTCTGCTGTGGCTGCCCCATCCCTGGAGGGGTTCAAGGGCAGGTTGGAGGGGGCTTGGAGCAACCTGGTGTGGTGGGAGGTGTCCCTGCCCAGGGCAGGGGGTGGCACTGGGGGGGCTTTGAGGCCCCTTCCCACCCAAACCAGTCTGTGATCTCCCACCTCGGGCCATTGCTGTTCCTGGGTGACAATAGTGGAGATAGTTGGGGTTTGATGGAAGCCCCGGTGGGCGCCTCCGCGCTGCCTCCTCCCAGGGAGCCTCTGGTTTTACTCCTGTTCCGTTTTGCAGATTCCCCCCCCCGCTGCCCCCCTCCTGCCCTCGCCCCACACGCGGCTCTGGGGGCTCCTCCTGTGTGTGGGGGGGGTGAGGCCTCAACCCCAAACTTCACCTGAGCAACTTCTGTTCTTACGGCTTTTACGCAGTTTGATGCAATTCTGGCTTTTGTAGATAGATGAATGTAACTCATTGTTGGACATGCCTGTTCCCCAAGAGTATGAGACATCCTGTTGTACCACGTCACCTTCCGAGCGGAGCTGGGCCCGTCCCTGCTCCCCTGCTGTATTGATGAATGTATCCGACGCTCTCGTTCCGTGTTCACACTCTGCTTTGGGCCAGCTTTGTGATTTGTAAATAGGAAATCAATAAAGACATTCAGGTTGTCTTTATGGAAGTTTCTTCCTGATTTCCAGGGAGCCCCCGGCCGCGGGGTGTCGGAGGGGAGGTGCTGGGGGCTGCGGTGCCCGGGACCAGCTGGGCTCCTCGGGGTCCCTGGAGAGGGTGACTCAAACCCTCTGGGGAACAGGGTTATTATGGAGCCTGGTTTCTCTTGGGGGGAGAGCAGGGGGTGCAGGGTGGGCGTTATCCCCTCCGTGTGTGCTAGCTTTAGCCTGTCATTTTATGACTGACTTTCTTTAACCTTAATCAAAGGGGTTTTGACAATTAATCACGCACTAAAAGCTGCCCTGGCCTTTGTAGGGGTCAGTCTGGGTCTCTGAGAGCTGGGAGGTGGCGTGAGGGGCTGTTCCCCTGCCCGGGCCCTGCAGGGGGGTCCTGGTGTGGGGAGAAGCTGCGGGTGGTGGGGCAGGGACCGGGGCTGGGCTCTCCCTGCCCTTCAGCCCCTGGATCCACCCGGCAAAGCACCTTCTGGGGCTCTGCTCTCACCGAGGAACCGGTGGGGCCGAGTGGGAGCCGCCTGGTGACAGTGACCCCCTGGGCCGGGCTGTGGGACCCCCCACTTCAAGGGGGACAGGGGAGCGTGGGGAGCTCAGCCTTGTCCCACTGCTCTTGCCCCCTCGCCCGGGCCCTGCAGGGAGGTCCTGGTGTGGGGAGAGGCTGCGGATGGTGGGGCAGGGACCGGGGCTGGGGTCTCTCTGCCCTTCAGCCCCTGGATCCACCCGGCAAAGCACCTTCTGGGGCTCTGCTCTCACCGAGGAACCGGTGGGGCCGTGTGGGAGCCGCCTGGTGACAGTGACCCCCTGGGCCGGGCTGTGGAAGCCCCCACTTCACGGGGGACAGGGGAGCGTGGGGAGCAGCGGGGGGGCTCAGCCTTGTCCCACTGCTCTTGCCCCCCGTGTACAGAGTGGTGCCACACTCAAGACACAAGGTCCTGTGGCTGGATCATGCCTGGCCCGTCCCTCCTCCTCCTCTGCCACGAGGCTGAAGGCTCCCCACCTACATCAGGGCCGTGTTCCTTCAGGCTGGAGCCCCGTCAGGCACCCCAGTGTGGGAGCGCTGGGATCCAGTTGGGAATCACCCTCCGGAGTCACCAACTTCCCAACTCATCGGT